GAGTTCTTGTCATATTTTATTATCATTTTCTAAACTATAGCGAATAAACTGTGATAATGTGAAAAATTTTGAAGGTGTCTGAATAAATTTTGGTTTGACTGTATCTATTTGATAAATGAAGTTAACCAACTAACATTATACATACTCTTTTGGTTTCTGTACCCAATATTTTTAAAATTTACAAATGCAATAAAAATATCGGTATCGGTACTCGGTATCGGCAAGTACCAAAAATAAAAGTATCGGTATCGGGCGAGTACTGGTGTCAGTGCATTCCTAGATAAAATAATAATCATAATTTCCTTTTAAGATGGTGTTTTAACCCATTAGGCAGATGACATTAAGCTTCACCTCTGTGTTCAGTCACTGTTTTAGAAGGTGATTTTAATCCAATACATTTACAAATTTGACAGATGCTTTTAGCAACGAACTTGACGTTTCTACATGCCCAAATGCTCTTGAAGGAGTTTCTATTGGAGATATAGAGTGACGACGAGGGATATTTATATCATTTTATGTCCGTAGTCTGCTACAGTGTCATATAGATCTCATTGATTTACATTACAAGCATCAGAGTTAGTTTCTGGCCCTATTAATAGGCAGAGGTGGCACAAACTGCACAGTCAATTGAAAGTTTACGGCGGTCAGGAGAGATGCAGTTAGCATTTTCACCTTGTTGTCCTCCTCATGCATGCTTTTTATTTGATAGGGATGAAATATGTGACGTGAATGAGTGTTCTGGCGGAGATCTGCACCCGTGGTGCTCGCTAAACTACGCATTAACAACCCCTTCCTCCTGTTAGGGGGAAATTAGCTCAAATTGTTGAGCACAGTGTGTTTAATAGAGTAAATCAGGACAAGACATATCCCCGGCCCAGGACAGATTTCGCAACTAGCATCTGGCAGCGCTTCTCACCGTCTGGTTTCTTACGATTATGTCTCACTTGTGGCTAAAATGATCTCCATTAGGAAGCATTACATATGATGAGCCTGCGCCGCATCGGAAGATATCGATTGTTGGTAGAGAAAAACACTCTAAAAATACTTTAATACTTCATTTGACCTTGGTGTTCTGCTGTTTGAGAGTGCTAAAACAAAGAGGCTCTCACGATTAGCTGCTGTTCGTCTTGTAAGAACAACATCGGAAGCCTGTGCTGAGGGAAATTAGCAACACCAACTCCATTAGCAGCATCTCAAATAGCGCTAAAACACACGTGAAGCATTAAACACGCACGCATTCATGTTTTCATTCAAACCCAAGGAAATATTGTGATTTTCACAAGTTATTTTTTTTAAATAAAGAGCTTTAATTTGCTTCTTTGACCTGAAACTTGTGTGTTCAAATGTTGTGTGACATTTTGGAAGCCCTGCTTTGATCAATTCTGAATATTGCATCCCTGCTAGTCCTTAAAAATGTCTTTAAATTAGTGCTGTCAAACGATTAATCGCATACAAAAAAGTTTTTGTTTGCTAAATATATTTGTGTGTTCTGTGTCTCTTTATTGTGTATATATGAATACACACACATACAGTATATATTTTGAAAATATTTACGTCTATATTCATATAATTTATATTATAAATAAATATATTTAATATATAAACATAGCATATTTTTCTGAAATATATACATGCATGTGTGTATTTATATATACATAATAAATATACACAGTACACTACACACACATATATTATGTAAACAAAAACTTTTATTTTGGATGCGATTAATCGCAATTAATCATTTGACAGCACTACTTTAAATGTTTTTAATTCAGTTGAAATTGAAGGTCTTAAAGGAACACTCCACATTACGCAGCGCCTGAAAATAGGCTAACTTCCATCAACATAACCAACGTGACCACCTGCTTGCACAGGGAGCGTGCTGGGGACTATTTTAAAACAGTTTGCAATCAGTGAATACTGCACATTTATGATAAGCATATGATCTACTGTTGATGAGTTGATGAATTAAGGGTTACATTATGGTCTTTGTATTGTAATATGTTGTAGATAATTATAAGAAAATGTTTATTTCCCTCATATTTTGAAATGAGCAGCTGGAGGTAGCATAAACATTTCAAAATAAGTGTCCCGCTGTATTTTGTGCTAGTGTATTAGTTCTGCATTATGACTGCAATCTTTCTTTTTTTTCTGGTTATTATTGGCATTTAATACAGATTTTACTAGTATTGGCACAATATGTGTATTGCCTTTCTTTGAACACATTATTATCCTATCAACAAATCCCCTTATGAGTTAGGAGATAATATGGTTCATCAGCATGTTAGACTCAAATCTTTACTGACCCTTGATGCTTGTTCCCGTTGCTTATTCTCTTCCAGGTTACACGGGGCACTTGCTGAAGTCTTTATGCTTCTGCAGTATGACCTTCCTCTTCATCCACATCGTCTATCAAATCACCATCCATAGTTTGCTGGCTGCAAACTCTATCGATTCTGAATTCAACTGTAAGTTATGCTTCCTCTCAAAAACGAATATACAGAGTTTTCAGAAGGGTTCATTAAGACTGCCATAAGTTCATGCATGCGCCATAGTATATGTTGGTGACTGGAAAGTTTTGCGTGCAGAATTACGAAACTACTAGCAGAGCAAAAATTGTAGCTTTTATTTTGTTTTATTTTATTTTATTTTAATTAATATTTAATATTTAATTTAATAATTTTGTTTGAATTTTTATATTATTTTTTGTTTCTATTTTACTTTTTAATCTAATTTTATATTAAATATTTATGTTTCAGCATTATTGTTTCATTTTTTAAATAATTTTTAATTTTATTTTGTTTCTATTTTTAATTTTATTGTAATTTTAATATAATTGTATGTGTGATTTTTGTATTATTTCATTATTTTTTTATTTCATCTTCATGTTTTATTTTATTTTTGAGTGAAATGTTAAATTTTTTGTGAAATTCACTCTTACAGCATATGACTGTAAAACCCTTCTGGCACATAGAGACCCCAGGCAATAAGTGTTTAACGAAGCTTTATGTACGTTTGTGTGACTGTGAAACGGCCCCAAGTTAAGTTAGGAACAGTGTTGCGCGAGTCAGTCACACATCAGTAGAAGAAACGTAATCCTTCTTAGTCTCCGTGTCTGTAAATAAAGACTGTGAAGAAGTCTAGAGTGTTCAGAGGAGGACAGAGTTTTGCTCAGGGTCACTGACCTCAGAGGTGTTCGTGATCTCTGCATCGCTCCACTGACCGCTTTCTGCTGACCATGCTTATTTTATCATTGTACTGCCAGCCATGAATTATGGACCAATGAAGGAGACAAATTGACAATATTTCTCTCTGACAGCTGACACAGGGGAACATTAGATTGAGATGTTGACATTTATAACCTCAAAACCAGCTAAAAATGACCATTATCAAATTGCAATTTGTCAAACTTTATTTTATTTTTTTATTATTTATTTTTGCATTTTATTTTATAATTTATTTTATTTTTACATTTTCTTGATGCATTTTTTAATTTTATATTTCATTTCATTTAATTGACAACATTTTTCTCAGAGGTGTAGACATTTATAACCTCAAAACCAGCACAAAAAAAAGACCATTATCAAATTAGAATTAGTCAAAAGTGCTGGCTCAAAACATTTTTAAAAATTCATTTTATTATTTTATTATTATTATTATTAAAGGTCCCATATTGTCAAAACTGAAATTTCCTGGCTTTTTTCACGATTACTGA